TCATTGCCATTTTCTTCGTCCATTTGATATTGGAAGGAATTGGTCACAGCGAAGATATGTGTTTACATCCTATAATCAATAAAAGCTTGATTGAGCCTTGCTTCCCTCTCCAACCTATCGGGAAAACTGAAAACGCTGCATGAGTTCGGTCTTCAAAAAGGAACGTGACAGGTGACCAAAACATAAACTGGCACCCTACTGGTCGTTGAGGACCTCGGAAGCGGGCGCAGCGAGTGACAGGCGCTGTTGCCCTTGGCTTCCGCGAACGGTAGGCGCCCCTCCCCGGGTTTCCTCCCAACACCGTAACGGCGATGCACACACCCAGAGGGTTGATTCACATGAACGTGGCGCCTCAAGGTTGGATGAATGCAGTAGCGATGGTGCAGAGGCATATGATCAGAGCCACGCAGACGGTCAGCCCACATATTACCCAGCCCTATATCGATGACCTGGCGGTCAAGGGTCTGAAGGAGAAATAGGAAAACGAAGTGATGCCCGGTGTGCGGCGTTATGTCTGGAAGCATGTCCAAGACATCGATCAGATTTTGGGGTTATTGGAGGAACATAATCTGACAGGGAGCGGCCCCAAGTCGAAACACTGTATGAGGGAGGCCACGATTCTAGGTTTTGTCTATAATGAGAGTGGGCGAAGGCCTGACGTAAAGAAGACATACAAGATTCTTGAGTGGCCGGTGCCCTTCCACTCGATAACAGACGTGAGGAGCTTCCTTGGGACATGCGGATTTTGGAGGAGCTCCGTGAAGGACTTCGCCACGAAGACGGAGCACTTAAGGAAGTTGGTGCGTCAGGATCAGGAATGGGTCTGGGGCGAGGACCAGGAAGAGGCGGTCGGTAGGATGAAGGGAGAGTTTAAGGAAGGAGGCTTGGTATTGGGAGCGCCAAACTATGAGGCCACGGAGGAAAGATCATTCGTCATTGAGACGGACGCTGGGCCAACTGCCTTGGGAGGAGTCCTGATCCAGGCAGATACTGAGGGGAAGGAAAGGCTGCTAAGGTTCGAAATCGTACCCTCAATACAACTAAGAGGAACTACTCTCAGTTTAAGAAGGAGACGCTGGCGGTACTTCATTGCCTAAGGACCTTCCGGAACTATGTTTTTGGCAGGAGGCTCATCTTGAGGGTGGACCCTACTGCACTGGCATGTTCCCTGAAGAATTATACTCCATCTGACCCAACCGTCGCAAGATGGTTGACCTACATTTGGATGTTTAATTTCGAGTTGGAAAAGATTCCAGGGAACAAGAACAGGGCAAATGGGTTAAGCCGCATCAACTGGGACGGATCGGACCAGGAACCA